TATATATATATATATATATATATATATATATATATATATATATATATATATATATTTTGTAGTGGGTGAAAAATCTAGATATTATTACCCCTTTGGTCATGTGGAATATTTAGATTGGCATAAAAAAAACTTGTTTTTGAAGGTCAGCATATAGTGGCAAGTACGACAAAAGCCACTAGTTGTGTAAATTTTTAGTGACTAGACAAACCTTTGGGATAATAACTTCAACTTACATTCCTCAATCTTTTCAAGGTATCTTCAAAATATGGAAATATTGATATTATAGTTCTTAATGTAGATGATAGTGCTCTTACAAATCTAGAAATATACATGCTTTGAAGGTTTGGTCACAAACCATAAGTGATAATTCTAATTGATATTTAATGTGCTTCATGTCAAGATAAAAGTCTTTTCAATTGATATTCAACTTTATTTCCAGACATGTTTTAAGAAACTCATGTCTTTCATACATCCTTCATGTGAATTTCATCTTTATGTTAACCTTTTGGCGCCATTTGAAATTGTCTGATGAAATATTAACAGGTTACATTGCAACATACTCTTCGAAGAAGAAGTTATTATGTTGACATTCTAACTAAATTAGAAAATAATTACGAGTTATATTATGTGATGATTATCCATGAGCACCCCTCTTGTTTTACCCTTTATAATATTAAGGGATGTAGAACTTCTTCAACATGTATATTTTCAATCGATCCCAACATAAGTTAGAAACTAACGAGTTAGACCTATTACTACTATAAAATATAAAACACATCTAACATCGGACGCAAAATGCATTTAACCTTAATTACAAATGCGAGTTAACGAAGAGCATCATGAAAAGTGGCTCAGTTACCCATCGGTTATTAAATAATCGAGGGGTAAAGTTATTTGCGCATGGGTTCAATCCCCGACATATGCACTTTTTATTATTTTAAAAACTGGATGGCGCATCCAATATAAACTCTCGGTGATGTATAGAATTGAGGTAATATCTCTATTTTATTACCTCGATTTTATGTAAAAACCAAGGGAATTATTATTTTAGTACTATCGTATGCACTTGTATTACAAAATCATATTATAGAATATAGAACCATATTTTGCATATTCCTGAAACAGAAACATTGTACAATTTTCCAAATATTGTACCATAAATATTCATTATTAACACCCAATGGAAACCCAAAATGGCACATACTTTATAATTTTACAAAAAAACTAAAATAAATGATTAACCAACAAAATCAATAACCAAAATGGAAATTTTTGTAGGTTGTCCAATATGATTTGTCACTGGTCGTTAAACACCTATAATTTGAACAACATTTGAAACCAATTAGGATAATCAACAACTTTAAATCTATAGTAAAAGGACTAAAAAAGAGTAAAATGAATAACTATAAATTACTAAGCGATATAAAACATTTAATACTAGTTTTCCCATATCCCCTCTTCATGATCACGACGAATAATATGCACATCATCAAAATCATTTTCTTTAGATGACTGACGTACATGTATTGCTAAGTAAGGGGTCTCATAGTTAAAATCTTGATTTTCATAAGTACTATCGAGAAGATGTTTTCCTTGAAGAGAATTGGCCTTCTAGTGCTAGCAGGATCAATGACATAAAAAACTTGTTTTGCTTGGATTCCCATAATGAATGGTTTATTCCTATAAGTTGTCTTTTGAAAATTAACCCATGTAAATCTTAATTCATCAGTTTCTACACTAGTGTTACTGTCAATCCACGTGTACTTAAATAAAGGCACTTTAAAAGCAATATAGTCAATCTCCAAAATCCTCTCAATGACCTAAAGTACGCTCTAGATGGTAATACATGATTGTTATCTTTGGAACTAGAAAAGTACATGAATTTGGCCTCAACCATAACCCCATTATTTTGCATGGTGTTACGATCATCCTTTGATTTTGTATAGAATGAATATTCAGTAATGTTGTATGAACTCCAAGTAATTATATTAAACTTAGGCATATGTGACAACCATGTAACTGAATTTGATGAGCTACTCACTTTAGAAACACTTTCATTAAATCAATTTATGAAATTTTTGTTATGCTTTGTCAACAACCATCCTTCATTCATTCGGGAGATTTTTTCCTTTATAAGACTTTTATGAGCGGTCAAGTAAGGTTGAACTTCACTAAGGTTATTCAATATATACAAATGTGCTTGAAGAACTACTTCTTGGTCAAATGTCTTAACATTTAAACCTTAAATACCTCTACCATCATAACATCCATAATGATGAGACTCAGGAATTCCTATAGATTTTGCTTCTGACAAATAGTTTGTACAAAACTCAATAGTTTCTTTTGTGATGTACCTTTCTACAATCGAAGTTTCCAGACAGTGATGATTCTTTATATACCCTTTTAAAATCTTCATATAATGCTCTACCAGATACATCCACCGTAAATAAACCAGACCTCAAATTCTAATCTCCCTTTACTAAGTGAACCATAATATCAAATAATGATGGAGAGAAAAACATCTCTAATTGGCACGAGATAATTGCATCTTCATGTTCCAAGTCGTCTAAATTTCCAAGATCAATAACTTTACTACATATAACATTGAAGAATAAGCATAATCTGGTTATAGTTACCCTTACATTTCTTGGTAAAATGTCATGAATAACCATTGATAGAAGTTGTTGCATCAAGACATGACAATCATATTTTAAGCCAACTAACTTGAGATCATTTATTGACACAAGTTTCTTCACATTTGATGAGTACCATTGAGGAAGTTTGATACCCTGCAAACATTCACAAAAACATTTTTTTTCTTTTTTAGATAGAGTGTGACACGCTGGAGAAAAATAGGTTTTATTTCCTATTTCTTTTGGGGCTAACTCTTGTTGTATATCCATCACAACCATATCTTTGCGGGATTTATTAGTATCTTTTGTCTTACCTTCAATATTAAGAAGTGTTCTAATCAAACTATTACATACATTTTCCCCACATACGTCACATCAAGACTAGACCAGTATGGAAGATCAAAGAACACCGACCTTGTTTACCAAATATTTTTCTCCACCCTTTTTTTTTGTTTCTTTCCAAAGACAACATTAATATGTTTTTGTCTTTTATAAACTTCCCTCACGGTTAAGGACTTTGGAGCGATATCAAACTCATGCACTCCATTAAAAGCCTTATGCAATCTACGATGGAAGATTAGGTCTTAGAAAATTTTGATGCCCAAGATAAATTATCTTTCTTCCTTTTTGAAATTGGTGGTGGCATGTATCAACTTCACATATAGGACATGCTTTATGTCCCTTCACGATGTACCCTAACAAAATACCGTATGCAAGAAATTCATTGATTATACAAAACAACATGACACACAACTTAAAGTTATCATCTGTATAGAAATCATCAACATCAATACCCTCCTCCCACAAAAGTCTTAAATTTTCAATCAACGAAATTAAATAAACATCTATGTCATTCTCTGGTTGTCTTGAACCCAAAATCATCATTGATAGCATCATATACTTGTGCTTCACGCACAACCATGGAGATACGTTATAAATCATAAGAAGAACGGGTCATGACGTATGATTAGTACTCAAATTACCAAAATGCTTCATTTCATCGGTAGTAAGTCCAAGCCAAAGGTTCCTCAATTCAAGGAAAAAATCTGGAAATAAGGAATCAATTTCTTCCATTGCAATGAATCAGCTACATGGTGAATTTTTCCACCACACACTTTTTCATATGCATGCATATAATATTATTTGCGTCATTAACATTAGAAAATAATCTCTTGAACCTTGAAATTATTAGTAGGTACCACATCACCTTGGAAGGAACACCCTTGTTAGTCACATTATCATAGTCATCAACACCATTGTCTTTCTGCTTGTAGCGTGACTCCTCACACCTTCATGTTTTCAAACTCTTTCCTATACAAGCTGCAATCATTACGACATGCATGTATTTTGACATAGTCCAAACCCATTCGACATAATATCTTCTTGGCTTCATAACTGCAGTTCAACAACATGTTACATTTGGGAAGGATTTTTTCAACAATTTAAACAATTCAGTGAAACTTTAATTTATCCGTTCACCCACCTCTTGCCTTAAGATTAAATAGTCTTAACACAACTGATATTCTTGTAAAACTTTTACTCCCACATACAACGAATCTTCCATGTCTCTTTGCAAATTGTCTACCATATTAGCTTTCTTGAAAGTATCTACTCCAATATCACAAATCATGTCTTCTAGAGCATCGTTCATAAATTCAATCACAACCATAATAATTGAATATAACTTCCCTTGGATATTTTTTCGTATTAAAACTCTTTTTACAAGGACACCAAAAAAATCTCATTATTATTATGAAGATTTTTTTCAGCGAAATCAAAAAATTATATCACTCAATTCTCACACTCTTTACTTAATCTATAAACTTTCATCCAACTACGATCCATAATCACATAAATCTATTAGAAATAAAATAAAAATAGTTTACAACCAACAAAATATTAAACAACAAGACAGTCTCAAAATAATAATAACAACAACGACAACGACAACAACAATAACAACAACATCAGTGATGGAGAACTTGTACATACTAAAAATGTGATGGCAATTCAGTCACCCTACTTTTGTATCTCTCTCATTACAAATCATTTTCTCTCGTCCTATTTCCTTTTCATTTCATTTTCTTTTTTATTAAAAGTAACTAAAGTCATCCAAAATTAAGTGGTGCAAATTCACTAAATCCTGACTATAATGTGCACGTGTAAATGCATTAGACGATTGCCCTTTTTAGTATACTATTATCATAAATACCAAATACTATATACTATATTTATACAAACATCGATGGGACATCACCAAGCATGGTTGATATAAGAACACATCCTATAATCACCGTATAAATAAGTTCCTGCTCAGCAACATTTTCCACACCAACTTGCAACTATAGCACAGTATTAATACTGAAGATGAAGAACATAACTAGTATATGGCAGGGTCTGAAACCGGAGATTTTAATGGTGTTAGTGCAGATTGCAATTGCTGCTGTCAATATAATATACAAGCTTGCAATAAATGATGGAATGAGCATGAGAGTAGCCGCAGCATATCGTCTCATTTGTGCATCACTTTTCACTATCCCTATTGCTCTTATCTTTGATAGGTTACCTTGCACTTTCTTGTACTTTTACCACTTCATTTTCATTCAGTTAAAATATCATAACATATGAACAAGAGACATGCCATGCAAGCTTGAATGATTTGGCCTTTTTTGCAGGAAGAATAGAGCAAAGATTACTTGGAGTGTGCTCTCCAAGACTTTTCTGTGTGGATTGTTTGGGTACGTGACACTTCATTGCCATATTATACTAGTAATTTCTTTTGTTATTTATATTGTCAATGGAATGATAACTTTACAAGAGAATAATATAATTGGTATGCAATTTTTTAGGGGAAGTTTGTATCATAATCTTCATCTTGAGGGTCTGGCTTTGACGTCCGCAACGTTTATGTTGGTCACGTTCAACCTAATTCCGGCCATTACTTTCATCATGGCTGTATGCTTAGGGTACATACTGTCAATCACATCATCTTATTCTGAACTTTTTTACTATTCTACCACCATTTTTCAGATTATATTCTAGCTAGTGTATATATACCACTCTTTCCATCATAAATCCCAAAATATCACTCTGTCAAACAAATTTTATTTTGCTGTCAAAGAACTGCCAATTGCATTGGTGGACCTTTACAGATCTTAATTGGATCTGTCAAATGCAATAGATTGCGTTTCTATATTTTAAATGGATTTGCCAATTGCTTTGGAGGGCTCTTTGAATTTTATTTTTTTTAATTTGTTCATTTATAATTTGTTTTTTAGTTAAAATAATATTATTAAACAATAATATAATATTAATTATTTATTAAAAATATAAAATAATTTTATGATTTATTATTAATAATAATAATAATATAAAATTTAACAATACTAAATATATATATTCTAATAAATATAATATTTATTTATTAAATATAATAGAAAAATTATTTTAATAAAATTAATTAGCGTTGATGTTGACTGAATAGTTGCAAGTGACCATCACCATAGTTCCACATTGAATATGTGTTCCATATCGATTAGTTCTTCAAAGTACTTGTTGACTCTCATCATTATTAGGTGTTCACCACACTCCCATAATATAATTTGTTCCCCTCAAAATTGAAGTATGGTTGGGTAGTATTTTTTGTTGAAATGTCGAAAGACTAGATGTAGCATTAATGTGGTTGGGATGGATTTATGGTGATTGGTTGTGATGAATAAAAAGGGATTCGGAGTTGAGGTGTTTAGAAATTATTGCTTTCTTGAAGGATAAGTTGTATGCATGAATATGAGTTATATTGGGTGGTGTATTGTGCTTGTTATAGAGAGTACGCAAGAGTTAAAATGTGAGTTTTGATTGTTGTGTACTTTGGTAGTGCTGACTTGGGGCATAATGTGGTTGGGTTGAGTTGTAAGGTTGTTGGTGTTGAAGATAGATTATTAGGTGTTAGTGGTGAAAGGTGGTTGTGTTTGAATGTCTGTGTTTGTAGATGGTCTAGTGTGTTGGAAGTTTGAGGAACATTGATTATAAGGGTCAAATAGTAATTGTGATACATACAAATTTGAAACGTACAATACCAAGCCAAATATTTTTGGTTGGTTTACATTCCACGGTCATGATATAGTCTTATAAAACAATAGTGTGTCGGTTCTTCCATTGAAGACAATCTTTGGTATAATAGTCTTTTCAATTTTGATATTCATATTTGTGTGACCCTTGACCTTTGTGATATCTATCAATGCATTTAAATGGACTCGAAATGTCTTGTTAAATGAAATATTGGAGTTTAACCATGTATTTCTACAATGATAAACGCAATTATAAGTATTGTCAAACTCTATATTTAATTATCTATTGAGTGACTATCTACCACATCAAAATAAAGTCTCCATGTAAATAGTTATTTAAATTCAAGTAGTTAGTTAAAAAAAGTAACTTTAAAATTTAAATATTAACAATGTAGTTACAATAATAAAACATGTAACTGCCAATTGCAACAGACTTGTACTCTATTAATAAATAATACCTTATTTTAATTCTGACTTCCTTGCCTCTTATCATGAATCTTTTGAGAAATTGAAATTTACGAACGAAAGATAAATAATTAACAAAGCAATTTGTAATTAAGAAATTTGAGATATAAGAAGGATCAATCTAGCACAGCGGAAACAGAGCGAATGTATCCTAGAAAGAAAATTAATTATCCCAAATTATATATCTTTATTAATTGAATTTGACAATAGAATCATCACATAGCTAACTTATATAGTCTTGAGAGTTAGTTTTTGTAACAAAATTTATAGTAAAGTGTTGAAACTAACTAAATAACAATAATTAGTATAAATTGATAGGGTTATTTCCCTGATTTTATCAATACATTCTTTTAATGTTTTTCATTCATTTTCATTTGATCCATATTGAATTTTAAAAAAAAATAAATTTTAAAATTAAAATATATTGAATTATTCAATATCAAACATTTAAGCTAAACATATTTAATTAAAAATATTTGGTCTCCTCCTTTCTATTTACCCCAAACCAAACAACAAAAGTTATAAATAAACGTCGCTCCACATTTTAATTATATTTACTTTTGATTTATAATAGAATGGATAAATTTAATTTGAGAGCGGTAGAAGGAAAGACGAAGGTGATTGGAACATTAATGGGAATGTGTGGTGCAATGTTGATAATTTTTTTTAAAGGTGTAGAAATTCATATTTTGTCTTCCAATATCAACCTTTTGCATCCACATCACAACAAAAATAAGCAAGTCACATCTCACCATGCTGACATTCGTAAGAAGTTGTTAGGTGTAGCAGTTGCACTAGCAAGCAGTTGCTCTTTCTCTATGTGGCTTATCATTCAGGTTAGTTATCAATCAAATCATTTTTATGTGAGTTGTTGGTTTTATTATCATTTTTGTCATCCTTCTCCTTTACATGGCACAGGCTAAACTGAATCAGGAATACCCTAGTCATAATTCAAGCGCAGCTTTAATGGCCATAATGGGAGCCATTCAAGCAACACTTATAGCTCTTTTTGTTGAAAGAGATTGGAACCAATGGAAGCTAGGAAACAACCTCAGGATTCTTGCCGTTGTTTATCCAGTATGCTCATAGTAATTTACTAAATATTCGAAAAGTACATCCCCAAAATATAACTAGTTCATATCAGGATCGTCTCAAATAATTTAGAGGCTTTGTTCTAATTTTTACAGGGAATTACAGTCTCTGGATTAGTTGTTATAACTATGGCGTGGTGCATAAGGATGAGGGGCCCTCTATTTGCATCTATTTTCAATCCTCTACAACTCTTAATTGTAATTATAGCTGCTTATTTATTGTTGGATGAACAATTATATTTGGGAAGGTATATTATAAATCTTAATTAACCTAAATATGTACAAGTTCATCCTTTTATTATGTTTTTCATCCATCAATATATTCACAAAATTAACTTTTTAGAAATTAATTTCATAGCATGCTTGGAGCAATGGTGATTGTGTGCGGTCTCTATGCAGTACTTTGGGGTCAAGGCAAAGAAATTAAAAATAAAACGAAGATATTAGAAATCAAAAGAATGGCTGAAAATGATGAGCTTGTTGTTATTTCCATGCCTGTTCCACATGATAGTGTCATCCAAAGCTACCAGAGTTCAACCATTGTTAAAGAGATCAATGTTGTTAATGAACAATAACCATGAATTTGAAGCATGTGGAAAAAAATAGTTGGTAGCATTTTGGTGTTATCATACAAATATGTAAATACTCTAAACATCTTGAGTTTGTGCGATTCTTATATTGAGAGTTGGAGAGATTGAGAAACACTTGGGTGGAAAATAGAGTTTGTTCTTGGAAACTCTAAAGGTTATTTTTTTGTAACTCGTTGTAATCTCTTGTAAAAACTTTTGAATTATAGTGAATTGGAGAGTTAATCTCTTCCCCAGGCGCAAATCGATTTGATAGAACGACATAAATAAATTTCTTGTATTCTCGTATATTATTTTTTATTTTTTTGCTTCAGGCCATTTGCGTGGTTGACATTGTTCTTTGTTCCACACATCAAATATTTTGGTGTGATTGAACTCTAAACACTTCTTCTGCTATTGTTTTAACTATTCTATTAATTCCACAATAAGTGGCACCCACCGTAGGAAAAAGGGTTAAGTTTACAAGTGAGTATCATGGATTCTAAATGGTACATCGAGAATTTTTTTGGAGACAATAACTTTGAATTGTGAAAGGTAAAGATGCAAGAAATAATAATTTGACAAAGGTGTGTAAAAACATTGAAGGGAGAGTAATTAATGCCTGCAAGCCTTACAAAGATGAGAAGGCCAAGATGATGGATAAGGCCAGAAGTGACTTGTGCCTCATAAATAAAGTATTAAGGGGAAATCACAAAGGAGAACACCTATGTTGAGATGTGGTTCAAGCATGAATCACTATATGTGACCAAGTCATTGGCTCACAAGTTGTGTCTGAAACAATAACTCTATTCTTTTCGTATGATGGAGAACAAATCTATTATGTGGCAGTTGACAGAACTTCACAATATCATTGATGATTTATAAAATATAGATGTGAAAATTGAAGATAAGGACAAGGTTCTACTATTGTTAAGATCATTACTCATATTCTTTGAGCACTTTAAGAATGTCCTTATTTATGGTAAGGAAGGAACTATCACTTTGGATGAAGTCCAAACGGCCGTAAGACCAAAGGAGTTATCAAAGTCGAAAGATTTAAAGGTTGACGATAGTGGTGAAGGCTTAAGTTTCTCAAGAGGAAAGAGTGAGAGTAGAGGAAATAAGAAAGTGAATATATCCAAGTTAAAGTCCAAGTTCAAGGTTTTTTATAAGTCAATGTTTAAATGCTTCACTTGTCACAAAACCACACTTCAAGACAGATTACCCCGAAATCAAGGACAAGGGCGATTCTATTTAGATTTCAACTGCTCTAAACAAAGATGGTTATGAAAGTGTTAGCGCATTAGTGTTAACAAGTATGAAAGTTTTATCACATGTATCCAAGGAAAGAATATTTGGAAACTTACAAGCTGAAAGAAGGTGGAGTCGTTTAACTTGGAAATAATAAGGCTTGCAAAGTTCATGGTATGGGTACACTCAGACTGAGATTTTTTTATAATCGTGAGTTCATTCTACACAATGTGAAGTATCTCCCCAAACTTAAGCAAAATTTATTTTCCATAAGCATGTTTAATGATCTAGGCTACTGAATTTGTAACGCCCTGTATAATAAATATCTAGAATAAGACCATACAAGTATTTTATTTAGTACTGACACCATTATAAGTGTCTATTGGCATAACTCACATACTTAGCCCTTTCTAAAACATAAAACACGACCTATAGTACAATACATGGAAATTAGCCAAAACAATAATATCTAAGATCAAAGTACAATATCCTCATTGTACAAGAAAATAATACACAACGAAATAAACTCAAACTAAGGTTCTCTTGAAACATCCAAGCATAGCTCCACTTGTAAATCATACATACAAATAATACCTGAAAAACAACAATAATAATGGGGTGAGATAATAATCTCAGTGAGTTCTCCTATCTTATGGGTTCACTCGGTTCTACAAGGTTTTAACCAATATCTATCTCAAGTCAAGATAGGAAAGGGAATAAGACTTGAGTTTGCATAATTTGCAATGTATAGAAACATTCCTCTTGATTCCATCCACTCAAACAATCATTAGTCGGAAACCTTACCAAGGCATCCCCTTTTCACGCCCTCTTCTACGTCTAGGACTTTCGGCTCGGGTCATGGATCCTTGTAATATACTTTGGCATACGAAATGGATTCGGGTTCAAGTTTATTCTCACATGAATCGTCAATTCCCATGGGACCACCTACATCTCAAATATTTTACTCTTAGGCTTCATTCGTACTCACACACTGGATAAATGAATGAATTCGGGTTCAAGGTTATTCCCACATGAATCGTAATTTCCCATGGGACCACCCCATCTCAAGCCTTTTTACTGTAAGCTCCATTCATTAATGGGATCTCCTGCCAAAGTAATAGTACATACATTCCAGAGGAGCGCTCTACATAAGCCTTACTCTAGGAGCGACACAACTCAAGGGATTGGTTTCGACTACGTGATCACACACAAACATGATTGTATTCGACAATCGCAAAGCAACATATTCACCTTATTCACAATTTAACACAAACCATACATGTTCCATACAAAGCTCTTCTCACAAATAGGCAACTACTTACCAATGATACATACCTAGGCATCATGGCACAAGCATTGTCATCCATGTTATTCATCATAACCTAATCATTTACTAATTCATTTCATTAATTAATAACAAGGTTTCCTCACCATTATTATAGTCTTTTAAGCATGTTATCTCACAATCAAAATATACATATATCATACATCATGTTATAACACAATGGTATATATAAATATCATTCATGGAACACACATAATAACATAACATGTTAAACATAATAAACATAGTAGTTCACATACATATAAAGGTATACAAACCACTACTACCATCTACCAAACATCCTTGATTAGTTCATGATCTCACATAACCATTAATAGCACATTAGATTTTCTTTCCAAGGCTTCAAGTCTTATATCAATTGGACTCTCGATTCATAAATTATGGTGGGAAATGAGGATCCATATCATTCACATTCATTACCTTTCCATATCTATCTTATTAATCCATCTCATAAACCTATGTTCCTACTTCAGTATAACAAAGAGCATTGAAGTAGCTTTCTAACGCTTCCGACTGTGCCCCAATCCGAGTTACATATCAAAACTTATGAAGGAAACAAAATGGGAATATTTGTCATGTTTGCAGTGCGAACTCTAGGAAAACAAGAGATAGAATAAAAAGGGCACAAAGTTCGCTTAGCAAACTCTAGGAGAAATTCCGCCTTCCCTTCGCCTTGGGCTCGCAGTTCAAACCCTACGAAATTTCCAGCAGCGCTAATATAGGTCATTTAGGGCCAAAAACACCCATTTATTAACACCCAATCATCCAAAGTACATCCAAACACTCATAGAAATATATATTAGCATGATTAAATATAAACCTCATCAAATTATCATGTGAACAACATTTTAATTCCATTTAACATATTTTCACACAAAACCCTAACTCATCAATGTTTTTATTTTCTTCCCCCAATGCTATACTAACTAATGGAACTCACATTTGATGAAAAAGATAAAATGATGTTGAAGATGATGAATCCAAGAACTTCTCTTTCCCTTCAAGAGTTTCTCCTCTTCTTTTCCTTTTTCCTTCTCTTTCTATTTTCCTCTTTATTTATTTCTTCTTACTATCTTTCTTTTCTCATTCTCCAAACATATATACTATACATATAATATAATATAATATAACATAATATAATATAATATAATATAATATAATGGGATAAAATATCTCCAATTTATATTTCGTCATCTAACACTAATTGACCAATCAGTAGAGATACTAAAATATCCTCTCTTGTACTTATAAATTTTGGTATGTCCCTTTAATAACTAATTGATCTCTTCAGAGCTCACTAGTTACTCTATTGATCCAAATTGAAAATATTTAGAGAACTTAGGGGACTCTATTATTCCAATTAACATGGATGGAGTACATAGGAACTCAGTTGATCTTGTTTGATATCCAATTGAGCATTTAAGAGAATATGGGGTATTACACTCTCCCCCTCTTAAATTGAAATTTGTCCCAAAATTTCCTCTACTTAATTAAAATCACTCTTGCATGATCGTCTTAGATCTACACTTGACTTTACTTCATTTAAAACTTCTGACGTACTCAAATTCTAACTTGGCTTCATGGACCAATTCCTTTCTTTCACAAATTCCCAACTCCACGGTCCTGACTATACTTATGTTCCAATGATGGTTAACTTTTAACTTTGTTGTTTCGTAATTTATCTGTCATTCCATCTTAAAAAATTTGGTCACATCTGCTTGTAGGAAGTACAACTCCATATTCTTCTACTGAGTCACGAAGCATAACCACAAAATCTTATCCTGGTTCGGACAACCAACGCTCATCAAATATCCACGAGATGACTTACTGATCCTTTGACTACACACAACACAAACGACCATTACCTTATAAATCCTTCACGTTTACAACAACTTTATAATCCATCAATCGACTTCTTTATCAGCCCCATTTGATCTAATGTTATACATTGTGACCATTTACATTTGATGCTTCATCTCTTCCGTATCACACCAAAAGGTAACACACTTAGAACGAGATTGTCTTACTTCCAATATTACAAATAATTACTTCTCTGATTCTTATTAATCCAATTGAACTCTTTCATCCATCACCTTCCACTATGCAACTCTAATTCTTACAGTGGAACGCCTCAAATTCTTGAGCACAACTAGTTAGCTAGCAGTCTGCATAGGAACACACTTATCCACCAGAGGGCCCACTAACCAAACGGTACAAGAACCTTATTGACGTCCAATAGTACAATAACTTTCTTGCTAACTTACACTGTCATTAGAATATGTTCAACACTCTTTAATTAACAGATATGCAGAGGTTATATGACTACAACCATAAACATATACAACCTTCAAATCCATTAAGGCTCGAAATTTATCCAAATTAGCTTAACAACTTCTGGTTCTGGTTACCACAT